TTTAGCTGAAACAAAGCAGCTGGAGGGGGAGATGAAATGGAGCACAAATATAGACAGTGTGATGAACTTTTTTTTCCAAAAAGGACACAATACTTCTCATTAAAAGCTAAAAATACATTCACTCCTTTCCCAATATTACTTTTTCACGTGATTGCTGTATTTGCCATAGTGATGTTCAGGGCCAGCTCTGGCTTTCTGGCCGCCCCAAGCAAAAAAAAAACAAACAAAAAAACCCCGCGGGGGCCAGAACAGCAAAGCGGCGCGGCTGGAGCCAGGGTGCAGGGGGACTCCCTTCCCTGCAGATGTGCCCCGGCTAGTGGGGGGAGAGAGAGAAGGGGGGCGGCCAGGGCTTCAGTGGGGCGCTGCCACGCAGCCCCTCCCGCTGTGCCCCCTGCCGGGAGGGTTCCACACCGCTCCGGTCGACTGGGAGGGAAGGACGCGGGCTGCCCTGCCCAGCTTGCTGCAGGGCGCTCCCTTCCTCCAGGCCGCCGCCCCCTACAGGGCAGCCGGAGCAGAACAACAACAAAAAAAGTGGCCGTGCCGCCCTAGGATTGGGCGGAATGCCGCCTCCTACAAGCTGCCGCCCCAAGCACCAGCTTGCTCGGCTGGTGCCAGCCCTGGTGATGTTATGCAACTCTGGAAGGAAGAGGAGGTGGATCCAAATGATCACATGTGGGAGAAATGTATCCACAAGATAAACTCTTCATTAAGACGTGCTTCTCATTTTGTACAAGTTTGGAAACCCCTAGTCTGCTGATTGAAGCATGGACTGGCAAGGTCAGTGGAGCTGTGTTCTGGTTCCAGCACTGGCAGACTTGCTGTAAAACCTAAGACAAATCACCTTCTTCGCTGTCTCACTTTCCCCATCTGTAAAATGGAGATACTAGTGACATGTGTAACGCTATCTAAATTCCTCAGGTGAGGGTGATATAAAAGAGCAAAGCATTTATTATTGACTGATGGCTCTTCAGCAACCTGTTGAGTTTAGAAGTCTCAATCTAGACGGGCATCCCCATTCCAGGAACCACCACAATTAACCCTCTTGTTGAAAGTGTCAGCAGAAAGGCCAAGGATAGAATTGGTCTTGGCAAATGATCCTGTATCATCCCAGACCTGTTCTTTCTGGGTCAGGGGTGAGAAACATTGGAAAGGTAGCATGGGAAACCTGCTCACCTGGGGAAACCTGTTCTGGAGACCTGTCAGTCAAGGTTATCAATCTAGAACTTTTCACCATCAGATTAATTCATGAAAGCATAAGGTTTTTTAATTTTACTAATTCCTTTTTGAAGCCATTGTTTTTACACCACGTCACCCATTACAGGCTTCCTATGACTGTGATTCTCCTCTGTTTTGGAATCAAACATGGTCTTTTTTTTTTTTTTAACATTAGAGGAAAAAGAAAGTGGCTTCAGAGTTTATCTTGTTGTCTCTGTAAATCAAAAACTTCTTAATTTAAAACAAGATGTTGCTGGATATGTTGAACCGTTAGGCTTATTTTTTATTTTATTTTTTTAAACTAAAACACCTGCAATATTGAAGGTTAAAAATCAGCAAATGTCCTTGCACAGAAATAGCTGTTCTGGGGCATGATCCCCTCCAGAGAAGGAGCACATAGTTGGATCAAGGGGTATGATCGCTGTCAGTGGGAATGGGTATGTGGATGGGGTAGGGTACTAGAATGAAAGTCACTGAGTACACGTGCCTTTAATTAGCTGTTGAAACATCTGACATTTAATTGGCATCCTCAAGGCATATATACAAGTTTTTTATACTTTCTACAGGTTTCAGAGTAGCAGCCGTGTTAGTCTGTATCCGCAAAAAGAA